AAAAAACATTCATATCTTGTCTGACATCTTGTCAAAATGAAAGAAAATCAAATTTGGAGAGGGAAATGAAAATATCCCAAGACAATAAGTTGTATAGAAAAATCGAATTCTATTGACATTACCTATAGAATCTTTCCTATCGAACATTTTAATAGAATCAGACAAAAACTAATAGAGTTAAAAAAAAATTTAAGAGAATCGCTTAGCGAAGTCGCTAGGTTATTCTATGAAATTTTTTATACGTGTTGTCCTTCGAAGGTCTCTCTGTACCCCGGCACATAGATAAAAAGTTTAAATAAACAAATAAAATAAAATTGATATGAAAATCGTTATTGACTCTCTCCAACAATTAAAACTACACTCTATTCTGAAACTTCTATAAAATCATGAATTAATTCATCGATTCAAAATGACTAAATGTTCGACGTAATTGAAGATGAAAATCTTCGAAGTCTCAAGGTATACATCTATTCATTTTCATCAATAATTATTTTAAAAAACTGAAATAATCATCAATACATTGACAAAGTACTGAAGCCTTTCGATTAACCTCAATTTTCAAGTGACAGAGAAATAATTCAACTGACAATAATAAACTAAAGAAAACTTGACATACAATTTGTTCAACAAATGTGCACTTACCTAGATCAAAAAACTAGATACCTCCGTTCTGCCCTCGAATATCCCGACTCGAATTCTACTTTTTCTTGTTTCTACTGCACTCGTAATCCGTAATCGAGTGGGCGATAAAATGGTGTTACGATGGCCGAATTTTGTCTCTGATTTCAGTGCAGCTGTCGACACCTAGCAGATTTCTCTGATTTATCAGATTTTCAATTCGACTTTAACTTAAATATACGTTCATTTATTCCATTAAATAAATATCCTGTGACCTCATGATTATGATCCTACATTTATACTGCATAAAAATTCCGCAATTTTGGAATATTTCGTGTACAATTTTTTTTTGATAATTTACCATTGAACACCGCATATTCCAACTGCTGCACAGACAGATGATGCATCTACAATTCAACGACATCTAACAGCTAGCCTGTGCACTTCATCCCCAGCTTAACGTGACGTGAGCATCTCAAACTGACAGGAGTAAAAAATGTCCGTCGAGGGCTGGGTAAAAACGGTCGGATAAGAAAAATAATAAATTACAAACGGTCACCGATCTGAATGCCGAGTAAACAAGTCGTATATTGTAATGAGTCAGAGATCAAGGTACGTCAGTCGATAGCGAAAAACCGTTCCGATTAGGGTATTCACAGGAATACAATTAGTGAAAATTACTGGAGTGAACGTTTATGGGTGAGTTGACCTACCTCTTTGTTTTCTTGTTCAATTGTTTTGACGGTTCAGTGACAGTTGCCAGTCGAGCATTATTGACGTTTATCTCGACACGGTGCAATTATTTTTTAACAATTGGTGGATATCGATATGCAGCAATCTCAGCAATTGACACTTTCTTTTGTCTCTTTTTTAAATTGAGTTGTGAAGTGACAGAACGAAGGCAATCAATTGAACGGAATTGATTTTTTACTGAATATTTCAGGATTCGAGGGAACGCGTAGAAAACAATTTAAGGGACAAACCTAGCGAATTCGCTAGACAATTCCATAGGAATGTTTCGTAGAAAATATTCTATAGAAAAAGTCAGTAGAATTTGATTTTTCTGTGCAACCTATTCCATTGAGATATTTTCTATAGAATTCCCTTGGCTCAAATTTCACAAGTTTTTAGTTTGATTTTCATGATGAAAACAAAAGAAAAATAAAATGAAAAAACAGAGAAAATTTGAAGTGAAGAAATTATATGAAAATATCTCAATAGAATAAGTTGCATCGAAAAGTCTAATTCTGGTGACTTTTTCTACTGAATATTTTCTATTGAACATTTCAATAGAATCGGCCAAAAACTAATAGAACAGTTCAATAGAAATTCAATATAATTTTCTAACGAATTCGATAGGTTTTTCTATTAAATTTTTTCATCCGTGCATCTTTCAAATCCATTCGAAGATCAAGAATATCTTTCACATATTATCTCTGACTCAATTGAATAGTCTAATAACACAGTCTTAAAATGCATTCTGCAACCAACACTCTACAATGTGATGCCCAAATTCCAAAAAATTAATGACCAAAAAAAAAATACATCAGCAGTCACGAACACAACGGAGTAAATACTCCCATTTAAATGCCCCCAGAATTTCGCGGAAAACCTTCTGAACCGAGAGCTACTGCCCTCCACCGTCACTCATGTAAACATGTAAATTCGAAGGAGTCGGGCTGCATCAGTGGTAGCCAACGGAAAAGCTACCAATAAATAAAAATAAATAATAAAAATAATATCGTGTCAGAAAATAGAAATCGAATAAAATTGTCTAGCGAATTTGCCACGTTTTTCTACTAAATTTTTTCATGCGCAAAATGACAAATTCACTTCGTTTTAGGTTGATTCTGTTTTCATAATCAAGACTGACCTTTTGCGGGAAAAAATACGAAACGAAGGTTTGAATATTTAACAAAATGGACGCAGAACTGTCCGAACAGTTCTACAGAATTCAGGCGATTGACAGAGCCCTGCGAATTCCCAGCGTCAATTACCTGTGGGACAAATCCACAGCTGTTTACGGAAAAGTCAAAGGTGTGTAAAATAATCCGTCTTCTTGATGAGATTATTATTAAATTAAAAATCAATAGTACGATGAAAATGACAGATCCACCTCGCAATATTTAATTTATTTTAGTTATGAATATCGATGATTTTCTTTCACACAAAATTGCAAAATTTAAATATATTAAATCCATTTCCAAGTCGCAATATGTAATATTTTCCCGAGCTGCTGCGATGGGGTCTTTTACTCGTACGGCGTTGGCGTCTGAGCCGAAGGCGAGGACTGGCCAACCACACGAGTAAAAAACCCCATCGCAGCAGCCCGGGAAAAGATTTTTTGTAGTGATTTTTAATTTTTCGAGTTTGGGAAGTCTGCAATACCAATTCCCAGACGAGAAATCGTGATCACAGTACAGAACAATAATCATACCGTTTATCGATCTTAAGCAAGACCGAATCTCATTCAAATTCATAATTNTTTCAAATCCATTCGAAGATCAAGAATATCTTTCACATATTATCTCTGACTCAATTGAATAGTCTAATAACACAGTCTTAAAATGCATTCTGCAACCAACACTCTACAATGTGATGCCCAAATTCCAAAAAATTAATGACCAAAAAAAAAATACATCAGCAGTCACGAACACAACGGAGTAAATACTCCCATTTAAATGCCCCCAGAATTTCGCGGAAAACCTTCTGAACCGAGAGCTACTGCCCTCCACCGTCACTCATGTAAACATGTAAATTCGAAGGAGTCGGGCTGCATCAGTGGTAGCCAACGGAAAAGCTACCAATAAATAAAAATAAATAATAAAAATAATATCGTGTCAGAAAATAGAAATCGAATAAAATTGTCTAGCGAATTTGCCACGTTTTTCTACTAAATTTTTTCATGCGCAAAATGACAAATTCACTTCGTTTTAGGTTGATTCTGTTTTCATAATCAAGACTGACCTTTTGCGGGAAAAAATACGAAACGAAGGTTTGAATATTTAACAAAATGGACGCAGAACTGTCCGAACAGTTCTACAGAATTCAGGCGATTGACAGAGCCCTGCGAATTCCCAGCGTCAATTACCTGTGGGACAAATCCACAGCTGTTTACGGAAAAGTCAAAGGTGTGTAAAATAATCCGTCTTCTTGATGAGATTATTATTAAATTAAAAATCAATAGTACGATGAAAATGACAGATCCACCTCGCAATATTTAATTTATTTTAGTTATGAATATCGATGATTTTCTTTCACACAAAATTGCAAAATTTAAATATATTAAATCCATTTCCAAGTCGCAATATGTAATATTTTCCCGAGCTGCTGCGATGGGGTCTTTTACTCGTACGGCGTTGGCGTCTGAGCCGAAGGCGAGGACTGGCCAACCACACGAGTAAAAAACCCCATCGCAGCAGCCCGGGAAAAGATTTTTTGTAGTGATTTTTAATTTTTCGAGTTTGGGAAGTCTGCAATACCAATTCCCAGACGAGAAATCGTGATCACAGTACAGAACAATAATCATACCGTTTATCGATCTTAAGCAAGACCGAATCTCATTCAAATTCATAATTAATTCAATTGCTCAATACCTCAAATGACAAAATTATAGAAATAATAAAGTGACCAGTCATGTCAGAGGTTGAGAAGCATAATGGGGGAAAAACAGCAGATTTCTCAAACTCCAAGTCGTTACAGGTGTCAACACATTCACAAATTGGGCGTTCGATAGAATCGAGACAGTCCTCCACACAGTCCTCGAGAAATCATTGCCAGTCGCACGCTTCATGGAGAAACCAATTTACAATCTCGACAAAACATTCTGCCAAGGTCTGGACTTCGTTGAAGTTAAATTACCAATCATCAAGGAAGATCCCAAACAAGTTAGTGGATAGATAATTATGTATCTTTGATAATTTCTCGAAATTTCTCCTGCGCGGGGAGAAAAAATCAGTTCTGCCGAAAAATTCATGCGAAAATATTTGGTGGAGTGGAACAGGTTCACATGAGTAAAATTAAGGGGGGGGGGTGGATCACACCACTTCTTTTAAATACCAGAAGTATTTGACGGAAAATTTCGGCGATTTTTAACTTCCCGATCTATCGGGTAGTTATAGTATTGACCCCGAAAATCGAATGTGGAATTTTTCAAAAAATTTCTTCCTCGTGAAAAAAAAGTCGGCATGAAATGCCACGAAATTTTCATTTTTCAATAACATTCTTTTCTTATTCAATAGAAGGAGTTGCTTGATTTTAAATTTCATACGAAATATGACGCGTGGCGCGATTTCCCTCATACGGCGACCAATCAAGGGTTAACACGATGAAACATCTCTTCCGTGGAACATATCATTTTTCGGCAGAACAAATTTTTCTTCCATTGTGTTGATTTAAAACTTGTCTGTAGATATTGGATCGTACCAAGTCACTCGTCTCCGAGAGACTCCGTCCAGCTGTACAAATATTCATTGACCTGAAGCAGGAGACAAAGCAGAGAGTGAGAATAATAACCCTTCATACTTACTACAAAGCACACTACTTGAGAGTTTACAGTTGGCAACAGGCAGACAAAGTTATGTCAACTGAGACGGGAATTAATATTTTAAAGACTGTTGACAATACCACTGGCCTAGCTGAACTGATGCTCGATAAATATTTGCCTGCTCTTGAGGATGAAACTTGCAGTGACTCCGGTGAGATTCTTTCTATATGAGCCTTAAACTAGCCAGAAATTGCCAGCGAATGATTCGATTTAATCTAAGGGAGTTCAAATATTTTTTCATTACTTGTGCGTAAAGTGAAATTTTACGAGAAAAGGGTGACTTTTTCTCACTAGGATCATTAAGTATCGTACGATACACATGGAAAAATGTACTTCCTGACGAGGGTAATGACAATACCTCGCCTTCAGCGAAGAATAATTAACGACAATCATAACTAATAATTAATCGCTCTATCGTTAACGACAATCATAACTAATAATTCTACGCTTGAGTTTCCGACGAAAGTACCACGGGTGTTTTTTGTCCTTGTAGAAATATTCAAAGTAATCCACTCCTTTCTCGCTACCTTGTTCTTATTCTATCTTATTAAATCTTATTATTCTGTATAAATAATAAATGAATAAATAATACAGAAAAACTTGGGAAATTGTTAACAAACCCGAGAAGAGACTTTTTCGATCAGAAATGAATATTAGAGAATTTAATCATTTGCATAAGAAATTGCGGATTTCAACATAAAAACTGGAACTTCATTTTTGGCCATCAATCTGATGTATTTAAAAAGAAAACTCACTGATATTTTGCCATAAACCTGCTCATTTCCTAGATAATCATCAAATCGATAGAAATACTTAATTAACATTGTCTTATTTCTCCGCCATTTATTCAATCTTGAATGGAATTCAATAAAAATTTGGCAACATGGTTTTTGCAGAAGATGAATGCAGTGAGCACGTAAAACTCCATCACACCATAGTAAGACTGAGTGAATTTAGCAGCAGAGCATCGCGCAGAATCTACGTGGCCCTGACGGAGAGACTCCAGTACATGTACAAAATCGAAATTCTCATCTTGATTCTACATGCACTTATCGTGATCCAGGCTATCAAATTTTTGGAGACTATTGTGACATCTGTACTTAAATTTACTTTTAGATTCTAGGATTAATACTGTGATATGACTTTCTCCTTTTTCTTTTGATGAATTTTTGTGTTTGTAATTGTGTGACGCACTAATGTAATTTTTCCTTTTGCATATGACATTGAGACAAAGTTTGAAGAGTCTCAGGACATAACATCTTTGTGTTTATGCTCATTGTGGTGTTTTCAGTTCCTCTTGAAATAATAAAATCTCATTTATTTTTATCTGGTTTATTTATTTGTTGGCTCTGGACTCTTTACTGTTGGAAGCTCAACTATTTTATCGGTAACTTGGAGATTACAATGTTGTACAAAAAATACTGATATCTAGAGGCGGAAATTTTCTGCAAGAATTACAGAGAAACAATTCATAGAGATTTATAGAGATACAATTTCATAGAGAACGCATTGGAGTTTTCTATTGATTTTTTTTATTATTGCTGCGGAAACAATATACATTTGCCTTTCCTGGACTCTTCAGAATAAGACTTTCTGCTTCAGTCGAAGCCTCGCTTCGCTCGGCAGAATCGCGGATTCTGGGCCCTATGACATAAAATAGTATACGAAACTCGTGCGTTATGGTGTTTTTTGACTCGTGGGATTGTAAAACTCGCCTCTTAATCGAACCGTTTGAATGACGTTATATATTCACCAGTCATAAAAATGAATCGTCTATTTTTTTTCGTTTCACTCATTGATAGGATTCAATTTCAAACCATTGACAAAGTGCATCCTTCAAAAATCCCTTCCACCTGTTTGATTGTGTCATGGGATGAATTGAAATTGAAAATAAAAAATTATCTCGACTCTTCTCACGGAAAGTGGAAATTCGTTTCCGTAGAAATTGCCTCGTCCATCATCCCCGATGGACGTCAATCAGAGTGTGTCGTATATCCGATGGAACACTCATCAACTTCGCTTTTCAGACGAGTCCAATTAATTTCGGGGCTGGTGAATACATTTTTTTCCCCCGTTATCATTCAATTTCATCAACGTTTGATCCACAATGAGAGGACCGGAAGAAATACCGTATTATCCCTTGAGCATGGCAAATAGACGTTGTCAGGAGAATTTTATGTCAGGTCCACGTGATGTCGGTGTGGTGGAAAATTTAGGTGTGATAAAATCCAAAGATTTTCTTCTTACTGTCGGGTTATTTTTCAGACCGAACAAGGCAGAAGGGAGATAAGGCGGGGAGAGAAGTCGTGCGAATGGGTGGTATATCTTATTTTTTTAGACGATTTCGAGGGGCATTTATCACTGGGTGTCCCACTGGTAGTAAACTCATAATTCATATCATTTTTCTTTGTTATTAGGACATTTTTTTCAATATTTTTCATTCTGTATAATCTAGTGGTAAGAAGAAAAACTAAAATGGGAAAAGCTTCTGACTGTGATGATTCTTGCCATGTTTGGCCCTTGCTCACGAGGGTCATACCTTGCAAGGGCCAAACGTCTCAATGTCATACAGATTATAATTCGCAAAAGTCAAACGAGGCAAGTTGGACATGAGTAAAACGGGAGGGCTTTCTGATAATTATGGATACATATATATCTAAATTATATGTAACAAAAAAACAATATTCATGATATATGTCAGATATCAGTTTGTGGAATTTATTGGCAAAAATAACTATACCATATGAAGGCAAGACTAATTTCCCACTTATTTTTCTCATCGACAGACGAAAACTACTCCGTACTGATGGGTGTCAACGGTTTTAGAACCTGTAATGGATTATAAAGGAGTCTGGGCATTTTAAAGTACAATACGAGCTTCTGTTCTGCCGAAAGATGTACGGGTTTGAGCCCAGCGAGATAAGCCTGCGGGTGCTTCATAAGCAGAGATTTTATCTCGCTCGGGGTCGATGTCTGGCCAAAAGCCATCATTCGCAGCTTCAGATAGGCCCTGTTTTCTCCGCCAAAACTGCTTCACCCTCATTTACATACATTTTTTTTTTGCTCAGGAACGTCAAGTGGAAATCGTGTGTAACTACCCTCGAATTTTTCTCTCATTTTCGCGTTTTAAAGTTATTAAAAGAACTCGGAGAAATGCTGAGACGGCGATAAGCCGCGTGGTAACTACAGGGATGTACTAGAGATTTATAGATTCGCCATGATTAAATTTCGTGATTAAGGTAGGGTGATTACTCTACGAAACAGTTTTGGGATGTATGGGAGAAAATATTTATATTGTGACAAATAAATTACGGATTACTAAAGTAAAAATCGAGAAGATGAAAATTCGCCCTTGTAATGACAATGAATGAGTTTTGTGGCGGTCACGGATTAACTATGGCAAAATATGAGGAATAAAAATTAATAGCGTGTACCCAGAAAAATCCTTATTTGGAGAGTTCAAAAATCTTAATGCGGGGGGATTGGTGGGGGACTATTTCTTTCTGGAATTTAATTCTTCGAAGGTTCTCGTACAAAAAATTTCTACAGAGCATGAATTTCCCAAGTTTTTTCACTCGGATCCTGTATCCTGAATTTCAATAGAAAAATCTCAAGAGAAAAATTCGTACGGACAAATCGAAATCTATTGACTTTTTCCTATTAAATATTTAATAGAATCTGCACAAAAAACAAATCGATTTTTAACGTGAATTCCCTAGAATTTTCTGGCGAGTTCGCTAAGTTTTTCTACTGAATTTTGGTAGTCGGACAGCTTTCCCCCGGAGAAAATCTCCCTGAAAAAAAATTTCCCCGGACAAAATCTCCCCGTCCTACTAAATTCTTTGTCCTGATGATTTGTTGTGAATAATTGGTTTTGCAAGAGATTTATGTTCATGACTTTGCTAACGCGATTATGCGATTTGACGGTGTGGCATAGGAAAAATGTATTAATAATTCCCAATTTGTCCGGGGAAATTCTTTTTCGGAGAGATTTTGTCCGAGAAATTTTGTCCGGGGAAAAACTGTCCTAGAATCCTGAATTTTTTTTTGTTATTCCACCTTGTCGAATTCACTCTAATTCCAAGCGCAATCGCTCGAGGACGACAGCTCTCCCTGCCGTGCAAAAAATATGTATGAAAACCTGTCCATCAAAATGCGCACCGCAAAATATCCATCATAAAATATCACTTTAACACAAAAATAATTACACATGTGAAAGAATCCCTGCGGTCACTGGTACCAGTACACGTTTATAGTTAAAATCGATAGTCACAGAGGTGACGTTCGTTATTATGCGGCACATTCGGTGACACGTAAAATCATGCAAAATGTCGAAAGCGTACAAAAACCCTACGTCAGTTATCCCTCACGCATTTTCCTCCGCCCCCAGTTTCCAGGGAAAATGAGAGAGACTGTTATACAGTTAGAACATTTACTCGGATTTTGTACCAGTCGTGCAGACACGTGCAGTTTACCAGTTAATGCACCGGAAGCTAAATACCATCTGTCGCAATTTGAATTGGACCATCGTTTCAATTTTGACGCTAGAAAATAACCCGTTAAAATCGTCACGCGTTGGGTAAAATCTATGGGGATATATGCTAATGCATTAAAAAGTGTGTGGTGTCGGGAGGAAGAGGGATGATAACGTGTATATGGAGGTATGTGAAATGGCAGAGGCTGGATAAAACAATCGGTAGTTTCGGGCGTTTCCGATGGATATCTCCCGAGGGGGTATGCAAGGGTGGTGGGCTGCACGTGTTCTCTCTTGGTACTTCAATTACTATCGCGGATGGAAGCATCTATATTGAGAGTGTGGAGCAAATGGATGCGGTTTTAGGGAGATAGATGAATATTTCGTACTCTCGGTATGAGTTTTTTTCCAGAGCTGGGCAAAATACTATCTCAAATATTTATGACTAATTTCTATTCTGGATCTATAACAGCGCAAATGAAATAGGAGAAGTGCTCTTCTAGCCTCTAGCGCTCACCTAAGGAATAACGGTATTTTTCGCATCCTAAACCATGATTTCGAATAAAAATTACAGTCGCATGGCATTCTTTGGGTATTCAGCGAGATATTTAGAAGCCTTGGATCCTCAATTTGCTAATTCTGCCTCACTTACGTGCAGAATTGTCTCGTCTCATTGAGTCGAAAATACAAATAAATTGTAAACAATAATTATTCAAATGTGTTCAAATGAACATGAGTTTCATCTAGCGCGAGTATTTGGACAAAAAATAAAGCAGAGAATTTACCCTATGAATTTCTTTTCTCCCGACACAGACCATGAGAGTAAGGGCTCCATCGTATTTTTCCTGATTATGTACCTACACTCGGAGACGCGTGTCGTGAATCGACTCCCGCTCCGACCGTTCAATTCTCTCTAGTCCTCCACGTCTTTAATATTTATTTATTCAAATGTCTTGAACGCCTTTGTCTCAACATTGGCCATTGTTCGATTTTTCCCAATTTCATCTGGGAAAACAGAGTGGCACCAGCTGTTTCCACTTTCGTTGTCTGCTCAATATCGGGGAATCAAAAAATTCATGTTTCCATATCCAACGTAATGAAATTCTCTCATAAAAGGGTGAGTGAAAAGGATTTAATTTGGATAGATAAATGAATAATTCAATTACGAAGATGTGGGTAATATTTTTTTGTCATTTCCAGAAATTTTCAAGGAGTTTTAATCGTTTTAATTCAAATTTTGTACTCACATGAACCCTAGTATAATAGAAATATCGTTGCAACGTCGCGGCGTAAGTTGGCGTGCGACATTGCCTTTTGCGGCGATGTACCTCAGAAAGGTACGCAGCAAGGTCGCCGAGACAAGGCTGCGCGGGGTTTATGCGGGATGGACCTATCTGTGGCCGCCCTACCTCAAATCCCATCAATTAAGAATTCACAATCTTCAGATTATGCGTATTAATTCAAATCAATTACTGAAGGATTAACGATTTGTTAGTGAATGATAATCTCTCGCAACTAATTGATGATTATTATTATCGATATTAATGAAAAATGGGAGCGCACCGCGTTAGCGTCGCATAGGGGTTCAGCAGCGATCGCGGAAAAATTCTAGTGCTCGGCACCAGACACGAGGCGCAAACTGCCGAACTCCCATATTTTAATCGAAATAAGAATAAAAATTCTAGATCAGCACGGAAAATTTGCTGTAAGTTAATCAATTTTTGCAAAGAAGCACGAGAAAAATTCTAGAGCTGGCGCTAGAAAATTTCCCGGTGTGTCAATTTTGTGGGGAATTCCGTAGAAAATTGTGGGAAAAACTTCAGTAATTCTTAGTAACATTAGAAATTTTATT